TCACCAGGAGAACAATTCCTTATGGCGTTTAAAATAATTGTTCAAACATAAATGACTCCTTGGTTGAGGTAATTTTACGGGAACAAAGGACCACTAAAAGGAATACCAACAATCTGCCGTGAGGCAGGAACGGGGCCATAACTGGGACGTTCTACTCCACAACCTGAACCTGGAGAAAAAAATGACTTGTATTGATTTTGGACTTTGACAGTCACCTGGAATAGTTTTACTCCTGCCAGACTTGCAATTCACAAAGTTAGATTTTTTTGTTTTTTTGAATGTTTGGATAAGTCAAGAAAAAAAATGGATTTCCAAATTGCATTCCATGCCACATTGTCTAAATCCATCTGTTTGTTCACCCAATCCAGCAAGACTTCATTAAACACAATAAAGATGGATGAGAAAAAGAAAAAAAAACACAGTCACCATTTATCTGACTTTTAATAAAGGCTATCATTTCATCATCTTAAATGTTAGAGAAAAGTCAAGCAGAGTAAAACAAATTTGCATCTGTAAAAATATATAAATCACACTGAATAAGTTAAAAAAGTTGGCCTTTAGGAAATGGCAGAATGTGCATATTTTGGGGGGAGTTTTATCATGTGTTACATTTGCACTACATGATTTAATTAGACTCTCAGCATCGCCAGAAGCTGCGACTTCTTAGCTCGCACCAAAAGAGTCAATCATCCGTCCGCAATGTAACGCTACACCGATTCTAGATAAAAACCCACCAGTCCATTTAAACACTTACAGTTTCCATAAAGTTGACTCTAGTAAGACAGTTGTATGCTCAGTGACGACAAAAAAAAAAAAAAAACAGGAAAGTTTGCTTACAGGGCAACTTTCTGAATAAATCTTCAAGCAGGATGCTACTTTTTATGAGGCCAACACAATTTTTGCTTCAGTGAGTCGTCAATTATTTCAAATTCACGGGCACAACAATGTCTTCTCTGGTCTGTGTATAATAAATTCTTTTTGCTATAATAAAACTTCAAAACTGAGGCAAGTCTAAAATAATTGCTTCTATGCAGTGTTGGTTGTTTGTATTTGAGGACAACCATGTGTTTGTGTGAAACTGGCTATGCTCTCAGCAGGTCCTTTAAAATGTTTGCTGGACTTTTAAAAAATGTTTCAGCTTTATATAAGTTATGGCATTAAAACAAGTTGAACTTCACTGCAGAGGTCTAAAGCTGTGATGGGAAAATCAGTCAACAGGACAACTTTTACTCTTGCACGCTACAAATCTGGCTTTTATGTAAAAGAGTTGGATGTGATGGCAGCACCATGTTGAGGACATTACTGGTCAGAAACACTATCCACCAAATCTGACTTTGATTGGTTCTAGATATGAAAAGCCCATAAGGATCAAAAAAGTTGTTCTTTAAAGTCTTTTCTTTGATGCTTTTCAAATTTTATTTATTTATTTTTTTTTGGGGGGGGGGATACTTTGAAAATATCCTGTCTTTCACTTTTTATATCACAACTACGACTACCTATCCTGAACATTTTTCCCACCTCTAATCCATCCCAATTCCAATTTTTGTGCTACTTTTTTAACGTCACTTTAGTGTCTGTAACAGAAAGCAATGATTTTGAAAACGTTTGCTCAATGAAGCGTTACAGAAGCCTGCTTACCACTGCTTCCACAGTCTGCACAGGACAGCAGCTCTTCCGGCCGCTTGTCCCGATTTGACTCCTTCGTCCCGAGACAGAAACTGCATATTGGGATGGGGTCGACCCGGAGCTGAGTGGAGAAAAAGAACAGAAAGAAACTATTTAAAACGCATGAATAGGAAGTAGCTATTAGCATGTTTCGGTGCGAACTTTAAGAGATGACTGTAGCATTATCTCTGGTTGAGTCAAAGAGGATAAAACTAGTTTGTGGGTTTAATAAAACAGTGGCAAAAATATCATCTGAAAGCAGAAGCTCAGAAAATGGGGGGGGAAAAAAGAGAGGAGTTCTCACAGACTAGAAATGAATAATAAATGGCTTTCATCCTCAGAGAAATGCTGCGTTTGAGATCCACCTCCTTTTATCCATTACATCTGAATGTGTAAGTGATCTTGGTAATCATAGTTTAAGGGCTTAATCCAATTCTTAAAGCTTGCACTCGAGTCTGAAAGGATTAACCAGCATGTAATCAAATTACCTCAATAATATAACATGCTCTCATTGTTACTGCCGTGATCCACTGTAAATGTTGCAAGTCTCAGAACAAACACTCATTTAAGGGCTTATGGCACAGTTCAGGAGTAAAATATGAGCTCGAGGTTTAAGAGGATTTCTCCCCATTGATCATTCAGAATGAAGGAAGGTAAAGAAAACTTAAGTGTCATAACTTGACACAGGAGCTGTTTAAACGTAACCGATCATATGTGGAAATCAAGATCAAACATAACGGCTCAAGCGGAGCAGCAAACAGACTACTGGGAGGAAGTTCATAATGGAAAATAACACTCTCTGGGTGTGACCATAAATAACCCACCTCATCATCAGTTTACACACTAAGGCCTTACCAACTGACTTCGGCTCTGAATGGCACTCTGGGGATGCCCATAATTAGTTCCTGGTTTCTATGACGCAGATCAGCATCCTGAGTCAAACCAAATTTGCATCTTTCAAATCTACCCCGGTGCTGACCTTGAGCTGGCCTCCACTCAATCACACAGAGGTGGACATTTTATTTGTCATTTCCTTTACGTCAATACACACAAAGTAGGAGGAGCTGGAGCACTTTTATTTTAATCTGTCACACCATCCAAATGATGCCCAGGGGGGTGGGAAGCAGAGGCCGTTTGGTCATTGTTCCTGGCTCCATCAATGTGTTGTTGTAGAGAGGGGAAGCAGTTTACTTCCACGTCGATGATTGCTCTATTTTCCAACCTGCCAGGTCAATATATGGGGCATTAGGTGAACCAGAAGCGACTGGAAAAGAGGAAAGTCCACAAAAATTTGTGACTGCTTGATAAAAATACTTAAAATAAAATTTATTGGACTCAATTGAGTTTTACAGTTATTTTCTGATATTGGCTACGGAAGACCGTTTGGCATTCTTATTACACGATTTCACTCAGTTTGTGGTAAAAAAATACTTAATCAACGGTCGAAAGCAATTCATGCAGCTTTGACAAATGTTTAAAAAAAAAAAAAAAAAAAAACCATATAACTCTAACCAACCGGACATGGGTCGTTCAGCATACCGACACTTTGCGTTTCAATACTGCGAACCTTTTCATCATACCACTTCAATGTTTTGCAATGCTTTTAATGAGTTGTTGGAGAAAGAGCCAGAGCGACTTGAGTTTTTTTCTGGCTTTATCGAGTGCAGATTAATGAAGCATTCCCTTTCTTCCAATTGTTGGTGCCCGCTCCCTGTCAGCTGGCCTAAATAGAGAAACTATACTTTTACTTCATCAACAAGAAAGAGAAACTCAACTCTTTGCAAACACTCCTGCTCATTAAAACAGACCGTCTTGTGGAAACGAAGCAGGATCCTATGACACTGCTTCAAAACAGTTGGCAAGCTACAAGTGATGGGTTTGGAAAGCAGTTGACTGCAGGCTTTATACTGCAGCAGATAGCCCAGCTAACATAAAACATATATTTTAGTAATTCTACAAAGAGTGAAATCGTTCTACTGAAATCATTCTAATCATTGCATAACTCAAGACCACCATACTATGATAATCTCATGTTACCCCATGTCTAAACAACAACATGAGGGGGAAACAACACATGTAAGAACCACATTAGCTACAGCCTCTCTTCCAAAGTAGTAGTCTGGAATAGAACAGAAAATATGTGACTTTTATTAAAAGTTCAAAGTTGATACATTTATGGCCCAAAAATGTTAGTTAGTTGTTATGTGTTCAAAAAGTAGGAAATAGGGAAATCAATTGGCTGATTTTGATCTTTGATTGACTGATTAATTCGTGTTTTATACTTTTGAGTTACAAAAAAATTAGCAAGCAAACTGACAATGTAGTAACATTTCCAAACAGAGGATCATAACAAGCTCTGAGCTATGAAGCCTAACCCAGGAACTAGATTAATTTCCATAAGGATTTCTTTTTTTTTTTTTTTGCTCTAGTGATTATAATCAATAGCAATTTGCAATTTATAAGAGGCTAAAATGCAAAAAATAAACACAGCTGTAGAGATGCTGATGATTTACTTGGGGATTCTAAATTAAGAACATTACAGGAAATTATGCTGCTTCAAAAGAGCAGGCTGTCCTGAGTGAGGGGGTGGGGTCCTATTAGAACACTGCTGGTAGAGCGAGAGGGAGCTCAAGTGGTTGCATAACACAGCAGGGGAAAAAAAAAACAAAAAAAAAAAAAACACTCTCATTCCTTGTCTTTGTTCCTGCCAGAGTCTCTTCAGAATCTAATAAACTCTAAAACCAAGACTGCTCTTTTTTTAACCTCAAAGCATCTCTCATTATCAGCACGCACACACACGCGCTCTCTCGTTGCCCCTTAACAGCTAAGCAGGCAGAAACGTCTCATCCTTTGAAGTAAATGTTAAACCTGAACTGGTGAGGTGATGTCATCAAGGGCCGGGAGCGAGGGGTTGAAATGTTCCAAATGGAAAACAGTGGGGCCCTTCCTGAGAAGAGCCGTCGCAGGACACAGTGTCTCTGCAGCACTTCTCGGTTTCACTTTTGGCCTGACCACAGACAACAGTCACAGTTGTGGCTGCAGTATCAAGGTGTCGCTTCCTGATTATTCACTGCGAAACTGCCGGGGAGTGGGGTGACATCTCTGTTGCCTGATGCAGCTCACCACTTCAGCTGCACAACTTGTGCATAAAGCATGAGACCGCGCTTAATCTCGATAAGCCCCAACACGAGATACGTTAAAAGCCTCTACAACAAAACCAGACGCCTGCACATTGCGCTTAATAGAAGCTGCAAAAAGACAACTGTTTTCCATCAAAAACTACAAATCACATTGCAATTAGCATAAGTGCTGCCATTTCTGGGACGTTTCGCATTGCAAAGGCATCAGAAAACAGAAACACAGGAGGAGGCGAGAACAGCGGTATCGATGCTAACCTGGAAGTTTGTTTGTCAGGTTCTTATTTCCTCCCTCTGGCATGTTTGTTTGCACGAAGCTCATAACAGCTGCATGCAGTCAGAGAGCACTCCGGGTTCCTTACTCAACACATTCTCATGCCCCCTACAAATTACCAATAAAATAGCTGTTCTATTGCAGCTCGTAAGACAAGTCAGTCCCATCCTTTAAGGTCATTAGGATAGGGTTGCATAACCTATGGGAAGACCACTGCAGACTGCCTACCACACACAGTCAGCATGACTTTCTGATTGTCCAAGCTCTCTTGTTATGGAACTAGCAACATGGACGTAAAAGGATGGACTCTAAATGGCATCTAAAAGCCCCAAATATTAAGGCTTTAGTAGTGAAATTCCTACAAAGAAAAAAACTCTATCCAGGATTTAAATTCATTTTGGACAAAAAAAAAACAACTTTACCTTTCACAACCTTGCAGTGCATTTTAAAAGGGAAAGTTCAAGACGTTTGAAGTCAGGTTTTGTTCAAAATAATTCTTCTTCGCTTGTATTTGGGTGGATGACGTCACAAGAGGCACATGAGTCAAGCTGATCAGCAGGTAACAATAAACACCTTTGAAGGGGACATTTGGCTTAAAACAGAAATAAGGAGAAAAGAAATCTGAGCAGCTGTATTATGTGACGTCATGGACGCTTGTTTTTATGAGAGACTTTATCAAATACTAGCAAGACAAATAGAAAGCAATGCCCATCGCATTTCTAAGCAGTGTCTAAATTATTTTTACGTGATTTCGCAGCAGAGGTGGGCCAATTTGGTCCTCAAAGGGACATGTCCTAAAAATTTTAGATGTGCCCCTGCTCCAAACACCTGATTCAAATCATTAAATTAACTCCTAAGCCTGTTTTCAAGTTGTGCAGCTGCTTGCTAATGATCCCCTCATTTAAGTCAGCTGTGCTCAAGCAGGAAAACATCTAAAACCTGCACCACATCATCCCTTGTGGACCAGTTTTGTTCAGATAGCAGCTTTGGTATCCTGCCTTCCATGTATGGCTGCTTTAGTATCTTTAAGTACAAATTCAGATTAGTTAGACCTTGAAGCAAAAGATAAAGGTTGGTTAATACACCAAGACTGAAGTGACCCCTACCACCTTAAAACAATTCACATTCCCCAAAACGCCATGGCAGTTTATGAAGAGTTACTGTCAGTGGTCAACTGGTTCAATCAAGAAAAAGAAGTAGCTTGGTTTCCACAGCCAGAAAACCAGCAAAGATTTGTGAATTTATCAGTTCTAGATTACACAGATCACACTTTTATCTTAATGTAACTTCAAACAACTAGCCCATTATCATCAACTTAATTTATTCACGCCGTTTTAAGCAACATCCTGTAGTTGTGAACATTTCATAAGCAGCTAAACTATAATCAGCACCGGCACTGCTGCAGGAGGCAGTTCAACACTGTGCTTAGACTAGAGGAGGATTCAATAACCTAATTTTTAAAAGACCGGCAGCGTCTAAGAACTGAGTCGAAGATGGCATTTATGCAGCTAGCATTAAATATCAGCTGTAAGGGCTGCTCTATGCGGTGCATTCATCCAATCAAACTCCACGACAAATGCCAGCAGGAAATAGAATGTGAGCTCATGTTTACCAATGCTAATTAACTTTGTATTAATTCTGAAGCTCAGTGGTTTTCTTGCTTTTTTGTCTTCAATTAGGCAGATGAAAATCAAAGCTAACTCAGGAGCTTTAAACATGGCTGTCATCTTTTTTTTAATTGGTTGTTGGTTTCATGACACTAACCTATCCCTTAAAGAGAAAACTTCTTCCTTGCGGTACGGCTCAAAGCAGCAGCGGCTCATGGATTCCAGAGGAAGAGCTTTACTTTTACATGAGGTAGTCATCCCCACTGGTAAGTATACTTTAAATGTTAAGCTCTCAGGTTGATTATTGGTGGTGCACCCACTCTGACCCCCATCTTCTCTTGGAAGTGGGCTGGAGTTGTTCCAGGACGATAAAAGTCAGTCTTGGTCTTGGCCATCTCTCTCACTCAGGGTTTCTGCAGGTTTCACCAATTTCACCACATTTAAGACTTCTTAAGAACTTTTTTTTTAATTTTTTACACAGAATAAATGTAGCATCATATGGGTTGGCAACGGAAGTGATCCAATGGCAAAGATGAACGACGTCCACCCTACTGGCGATAAGTTTGCACTTAACCTTTGACGGAGGCAGAAAAGCAAGCTTGCTAGCCTTTTATTTTAGATGGCTAGTTTATCTCCTCCCTCCATTTCCACTCCAGGAACCAGAACCAATAGTTCCTTCTAACATAGCTGCTAATATACATTTGCTAGCTAGCAAGTGTAAATTAGCAGATAGCTACCAGTAGTCTCAACTGCCATGAGACACACAACACAATAAAGTGACATAAACATTAGCCTGATGGGAAAGTCTCATGACAAAAAAAAAAAAAAACCTACATAGTATATGAGAGATTAAATAGTAATGCCGCAACAAAATTTAAGATCTATGATTCACATATTTAAGGCCAACGTAACTTTTTTAAATTAATTTTTTAGGCCTTGATTTTAGATACTTGAATTTAAGACATTTCAGGATGCACGGACCCTCCTCGCTTTACCCACTTGGACCTACGAATGTGGAGTTGAAACAAAAGATTCCTGTATTGCAGGTAAGATTTTATCTGTCTAAATTTTTTTAACATAACCTCACTTCAAAGACTCACAACTGTCCCTGGCCTTTAGGGATAATGCTCCCTGCATCACTGAAAAATTAATTGTTTAAAAACATTTATTTATTTATTTTTTTAAATTTTATTAGCTTGGAGTAAGTGAGTGAGAGTGCAAAGGTCAAGGTGCATATACCTGCTCGCGCTCATGAGGGAGGAGTGTCACTGATGACAGGACCAAGGGGGAAGCACTTGGACACCTGGGGTTCCTTCCCTCCACACTGCCATGGCTGAGTTTATACCGAGGGCCGTTTTTTAACAGCCTGCCATTGTTGACTGACCGCTTAGCGGCTAGCCGCAACCTTTGACGGAAAGCGGAATTATCAACAACTTCTGACAGATCGTCCTGATTCCTCAGATATCGCTCAATGTTCTTAAGTGAGGAGCCATGGGTATCATCCAGACCCTCGATGGCCCTCCTGAGTATTTTATTCCAATCGATATGGCGCAGATCACTTGAATTCCATATAGATTCCTTTGACGGCAAAGGTGCATTTGCAGGCAATATTGATCCGATTCTTCCAGGGTTTCCTGGGTCCTTGTAGGAGGCGCTTCCTTTATTTGTAACCTTAAGGACAGAGCCATCATGAACACTTAAATCCAACTGCTCAAGGACGATCTTCTTGTCCAGTCCATGCAACGTGGACACCGCATGACAAATTCGCTCCTCAGAAGGCCTCTGCTTTTGCCTCTTAATTTTCTGTATTGCTTCGAGAATCCACTCCGTGTAGAGAGGGTTTGCAAGTTTTACCATGGTTGAACAATAAGCCTCACAGAAACGTGATCCATAAAGATTCCCTCTTTCTGCAGCCGAAAGCAAGGTACATCCACATCCTTAGGTAAAAGGTCAGGAAGTTAGGTTCCACAACAGCATCCAGAAATATGTCCTCAGGGTCCAAGGGTGAGCTTGAGGAAAAGTTGGCACGAGTAAATTCCACACTGGTGTAGGTATCACATGACCTGGAATAGGTCTGTATTAAAATCCGAGATCAAATCTGCAAAGGGAAACAGAAAAACAAATGAATATTGAGACGATTTAATTACTATTCACAATATGTACAATATTCACAGCTATGGCATGTTTGGTATAAATCAGCTTTAAACTGATTGGTGACAAACCAACACAAAGTAGTACATAACAGTTAAATGGTAGAAATTTAAAACGGTGTTCAAAACTTTTTACGTATACAAATCTATAAGTGTGCTTTATTGTGACGGCACTAAATACAATCCAGTGCAATAAACTGGCTTCAGAGGTTTCCTAATTAGTAAGCAGAGTACACCTGATTGTAGCGTAATCTAACAGGTTTCGGATGATTGTTAGAGAACATTAGTGAGCCACAAAACAAGGAACACACCAGACAGGTTAGGTTACGGTGTTTGAGAAGTTCAAAGCAGGGTCATGTTATAAAATAATATTCGTAATGCATGTCTGGCCTTTATAGGCGAGTAGCAAAAAGTAAGTCATTGTTGAAAGGAAGCCATAAAAATACTGTCTGTACTGTTTCACAAGCCATTTAGGGACACTGTAAACATGTGGTTCTTTGGTCAGATGAGAGCACGTTTTTGTTTCTTGGGCTGTGTGAAAAACTGTGTAGCGGAAATCAAGCACTGCATATCAGCCTGGACAAAACTCCCTCAAGGTAGTGGCAGCGTCATGCTGATTTTATTCAGTAGGGACTGGGAAGCTGATGAGAGTTGATAAGGCAATAAAATAAACAAGTATATAGGGGATTCCTGGTAAAACACCTGTTAGAAGCTGCGAAAGACTTCTGACTGAGGCTGAAGTTCACCTTTCAGCAGGACAACAACAACCCTCAACACACAGCCTGAGAAACTGATGAATCATTTAGAATAAAGCAATGTCATGCCTTAAAATGGCTTAGTCAAAGTCTGGATCTAACTCTAAATGAGAATCAATGGAAATCGCCGTTTATCATATATGACTTAAAATATTTTTGAAAAATGTACAAACATTTCATTTTCCAGATCTATAAAATATGAGTGGCTCTGAGCACAAACGAATGTCATACTTTACAGATTTTTATTTGTATAAAAAATGAAGAGCATGCATCACTTTCCCTCCACTTCACAAGTATGCACTACTTTGCATTGGTCCATAATAGAAACAATTCATCATTGGAAGTATATTAAATCTTGTGGTTGCTGAGAAAATATGGAGATGTTCCAGGGGTGTGAATACTTTTTGCAAGGGGCTAGTGATCATAACATGTCGTGTTAGGTATGAATAAAACAAGCACATCAGACGCCCTGATTTCTAAACATTAACACCAGCCGTGTAGTATAAGAAGGTTACAGCTAAGGAATGCAGGACTTTTTAAAGATGTGCTAACACACGAGAAACAGATGGATAAAAACAGATGCAGGCGCTGTCATGGCTGCTGCTAAGGAAATCAAAGTGACTTAATCCGTAGTCTGACACCATAATCCGCACACCAAACCAGATGTCCAATTCAAAAGAGACCGTTTTCTCAAATAAAAAGGGGCAAGTTATTCACACTATGACAGCTATCTAGAAACTTCTCATGACCTGTGGAAAACTACTCGCTGTCTTCGACAGATCCACATTTTCGGTTTCAGATTCCTTCGAAAGTTTACATTTATTTCAACAGCGCGTTATTTTAGAAAAGAAAATAAAACACAACTGCGCCAAGTGTCTGGTTTAAAAACGCATAAAATGGAGAAAGCAGAACAACAAGCCAAAGTTTTAACCGTTAGATGTCCGCGCGACACTTTTTGACAGCTCGACAAACGAGCAACCCGATCAGCGCCAGCCTTAATGACACCCGTATAATCAATGCTCACATCCTGACAGCTGCTCCGACACCATGTTTACCCCCCCACGGAGCCGTTTATCCGAAGAAAGGAGAAGAAAAGCAGTAATAGCTGCGTAACAAACCCCCGTGAGTCGCGCTCCGCCGAGTTGGGCTGATAAACGTCAAGTGCTGCCAGCTTTACCCCCGATGTCACCTAAACTAGCGGTCGCCATTTTGTTACAATGTTGTAGTTTACATGAATCCGACATGACGCTGATTACAATCCAATGGAGTCTCATTAAACCTCACCTAACGCTAATGCGCCCTCCCCAGCAACTTCAATATTGGCTGTAAAGGCGAGATCCGATCCCTGGTTTGATAAAGCGCACGTCAATCTTTATGTATGAGCTCACTCCGAGAGGCACGTCACTGGCTGTGTGATCTGTCACTTCACTCTGTTAACCCGCCTCTTAAGGTGCCTCTGGTGATGAATCGATAGCACTCACCTCTAAACGCTCGTAAAAAAACGCCGAATTTTACGGCTTAAGTGGACATAAAAGGGTTGTTAATAAGTTACAAACGCGTGGTAACGTACGTAAACCGGCTGGAATAAATATTTAACCTCATTTGCACGGCGTTCAACATCGGCCCACCTTTACTCGGATTCCTCCTTGAAACAGTTGGTTACACTTGAAAGTGATTTGGATCATTTTAGACTTTAATTGGCTGTTTGTTAAATCGATCATTTGTTTGCATAAAAACGCACTGACTTAAAGCGGAACGCGTTTAATTTATTTTAGCACTTCCAGGTTGCGCCACATAGCACAATAAAATCAACATAAATAAAAATGTACCCAAGCTGTCGCCTCTTTATCCTTGTTCGGTTTCTTTATATTTCCTCCTCCGAGGGAATATTTAACGTTTAAACTACATGACGTACAAGAAGGGTTATAAATGCACACAATTTGTTAAGAAAATAATTATAATAATAAGAAAAAGTGGAATTATGAACGTCCCGTTTATCACCATTAACTATCAAATGCCTCCCCTTGAGGAGAAATAGTAAGAGCCCGGAGGAAGAAAAGACGTTCAGCAAGTTAACACCGCTTCTCTCAGTTATGTATCGTCAGCCCCATATTTTTTCAGCTTCAACTCTCGACTCCCGTATATTAAATTTACAATCTCTTTTAAAACATATACATCGTCTTCCTAGATGTCGCGCAAACCTACTCGGCAGCAGCGGAGAAGACCTAATTAACGCCAAGTTTCGCGCGAAGACGAACGCGTATCTGTAGATATAAAATAAAAGAGCAGACGCTACGGTAAATATTTGCTGGTAGTTTACCTCTTCAAGTTTTCCCCCCTCTCTCTCGGGTACTCCTCTTCTTTATCACGTCGAATGGGGTAAAATGCGAAGCGACGTATCCGAGCGATTTCGTGGGATTTTTTTTTTTTTTTTTTTTTTACGTGTTAAAAGCGAAGGCTGGAAAGCTCTAGCCGAGACATGGAGAGGACCTGATAACAACTAATTGAAAGGTTAATCTACATAGCAGCCTGTGACAAAGTGGTACCCTCCCCCTTCTTCTTCTTCCTCTCCCACTGTAGACATCCCTTTACTTCAGCGTAGCGGACCGTCGCCCCTTTTTTAGTGCGCTCCTCACAATGATATTGTCAATTTCAAAAAAAAAATTCTCTCCCACTAAACATTTTCACACTTCTATTATAGCCTGCATGACATATTACTACTATATTTTTTTTCTCATTATTATTTATGTAACACCTACTAACATTAATTCCGAAAGGGCATTTTAAACTTCCATTTATGTAAATATGATGGGGTTACTTTTCATTTTTAAAGAAGCTATTTCCTACAATTGACATAAGGGGTATTTAACACCCTAATCAGGTAATTAACTCCACCGAGCTGAAGATAGAGCAATAGCAATAATGCTAATGTATGATTACATTTTTCAGTTTCTACATCAGTGCTCCCTTCACTCATCTCTCTTGCAGCAAAAGAAATACCAGAAAGCTCATTTCTCATGCAGTAATGCGGATGTAATTAGAGAGATAATTGGTTACTTCTCATCAGATAACAAACACATACACAGTACTGGATGAGGAGCCCAAATGAAAGCTTTTATCTCCTGTAGAGACCCATTTAGTGACTAATTTAAATAATCTAGTACACATGTTAATAATCTTGTCATTTGGCCATCAAGAGGGTCGACAGTTGACGCAAGAAAAAAAAAAAAGAAGAAGCAGCTTGATCTCACTGGATCCAGACCCAAAGGAAGACTTATCTGCACGCAGATCAATTAGTTGTCAGTCTTTTTGATTTTATGACAGGTGATGAGCTCTTGTAAACTTCTGATGAATACTAAATGCACTCACTGGCTACTTAAACAGGTGCGCTTTCCTAGTCCAAGGTTGAACTGCTTTGACTCCTCGTGGCATAGACTCAACAAGTGGTCAGAAACATTCCTCAGAGATTTTGGTTCAAGTTAACATGACAGTATCACACAAGTAGCGATCAGATTTCTCTGCTGGACATCCGTGATGTGAATCTCCTGCTCTACCACACCCCAAAGGTGATTTGTTGGGTTGACGCATGGATCACTGTCGAGGTCGTTGGTGTACAGGGAAGTCATTAAACGGATGGAAATGGTTAACAACCTCCGAACCGTTACATTAGTAGCACCAGGACTGACAGACTGAATCTACGCTTTCATGTTGTTTTCACTGAATTCTGACCTTTGAATGCAACATCTGAAATTGATGCCCATCAGACTAAGAAACAAAGTTTGGTGAATATGTAAGATGCGTATAACCTAAGTTTTTCTTTTGTTGGTTAACAGAAGAGACATCCAGGATGGCGTTCTGTTGCTGCAACCCATCTGTGTCAAGGAAACGACGTTGTGTGTTCAGGGATTTCTTGTGGGATACCAATTCCACATACCTTGTTTCTATTGAGTGAGCATCTGAACTGTTGTCTTTCTATAATCCTAAACTGGTCTGACCATTTTCCTTTGACATCAACTAGGTATTATCGTCCACACAAGTCACACACAGTTAATTGAAAAAAATTTGTGCACCCAACTTAAAATTCAGTTTCTCCAAAAGAAACATTAATATCATGCCTAATCTTTATTTATTTATTTCTAGAGAAAGTAATTTATTTCCAGGTAAACACCAATTTCTTTGTTGTAGTCATTAACAAAGTAATACAAAAAGATGAGTATTCTGACAAAAAAAAGTTTGCACCACTCTTTATTTTCAGCTCTGAGTTGTTTTGAGGGATTTCTTGCATGAATAGCCTTTTTCAAACCACCCCACAGCATCTCAGTGCAATGAAGATGTGTGTTTTGACACAACCAGGGATTTTCTTAGTTGTCAGCCAGTCAGCAGTGGATATACTGGTATGTTTTGGGTCACCATCATTTTAAAGGTTCTGGTTTTGCTTCAGTTGACGTTCAACATGTCCTCTGTTCTAGTGTCTAAAAAAATTCAATTTCAGATTCATCTCTCCTAGAACAGTACTCAAGAAGTCCTGGTCCATGTTCTTCTCTATGGCAAACTTTGCTTTGGCACTCCTGTTTTTCTCAGAGATCAAAGGTTCCTCCTTGCACACTCGATGAAAGTTTAACTCGCATATCACCGTTCCGATTGCACAAGAATATCAGCAGTAGCGAGAGCCTGCAAGATGTTCAGTGGTCACATTTTAGGGACTTTGGAGACTTCTTTTAGCACCTTGCAGTCTGCTCTCAAGGTAAGTTTGCTTGGAGGACCAAACCTAGGCATGTTGGCAGTTCTTTAGATTCTCTCGAATTTGTAGACAATTTTCCAGACAGCGGATTGGCTGATTTAAAAATCCCTTGAGTCTTCTTTAAATCCCTTACCAGACTTCTAAGCTCCTAAAATCTTCTTTCTGAAGGCCACAAACAGTTCTTTCAGCATCATCATCGTCTTCAACCTCACTTCAGTAGTCAGGGGTGCACCAAGTAAACATCCGAGTTTTAAATATGGAAAGCCTTTTTCAAAATGCTGAGTAACACTCTTTTAATTGTGTGTGTTTCTGGCGTGATATGCCTGTGTGTAATATTAGCCATATTAAATAGGATTAAATGTGTGTGTGTGTGGGAGGGGGTAGGGGGGGTGTCCTAATGTAATCCTTACCAGACACTGCAACATAAAAGATTGAAAAAGTAATTTATTTACTTTTGTCGTCGAGTTATATTACTTGAAACTTCTGGTTATTTCCTGTTCTAATGCTCAGTTTGGAACTCGGTCAGTAAAAATGCTGAAGTCCACTCAGTTGCAGCCATATTACTGGCTGATCCCCTACTTTGTTCAACAATTTAACAAGTGTACCTAACAAAGTGACTGGTGAGTTTACGCTCCTAATGTTTTTGAGTGGATATCGCTCAACGTTAATTGAAGCTCCCTCATCCAGCGCACATTATCAGGATTGGCTATTCTTGTCATTACTCTACATGTTTTTATTGAACTGCAGCATTTGTCATGTTTTCTGTTATTCACCTACTGACATTTATGCAAATCGACTGAACGATTCAGTCAACAAAATTGTCAGTTTAGAAAACGTTTAAGCAGGTGAAATATGAATAAAGAGAATTTGAATCTGAAGCTTTTGTGGGCTGGGGGTCATAATAAAGAACGGCTGACCAGAGGGGGAAAAAAACACACAAAAAAAACTGCCAGTGTCTGGCTGTAATGAATGCCACCCTGGGCCCCAGCAGGTCCTTCACTGCTGCATGGGTCCAGGGATAATTTGAATTGGAACATGTGCCATAGCAGTCAGCCCATCCCCCTCCTCAATCCCTGCCAACTGCCACACTGGTGTTCACAAACACTGCTGCCCATCTGCGGGGCAAAACACTGGCCAGGACCCCAGTTACTCCTTTGCAAGCATTATTATTATCATCATCAGTGTTAACAGCAACTATATATGCTGGTGAACTAACTATTGTAGACAATTGTCACAAAATCAAAATTTATTGTAACGGAAAAGTTAAGTTTTGGCCAAAGAATGAAAATTAAGAGATATTGCAGACCAAGCTGCGCTATTTGTTAAAGGTCTTCCTAAATCGCAGAGTATGATACTATGCTAAATGCTCTCAAGTTTGTTTTTCATCTGTGTGCACTGAGCAGGGCCAAAGTTTGTTGGAGAAAGTGAGAAAAGTAGTTTCCTTCATTGTGGCAGGCATCCTCATTACTTAATCATGGCTCTCTCTCTTTTTGTGTTTGTGTTTTGCCATCTGTCATCTTGAGAAGCAAATGAACCAGCTGCCATGGAGTCTTGTCCAATCAGAATGGTGGACCTTTTCAAAGCGCATCTGTGGAAATGCTTTAAAAAAAAAATGTTTGATTAAAAAAGAATCAGTTGTTAGTAACACTTTGGCAAGAGAAAGTTCTTTTTAACCTATATGATCTGGGTTAATATGTATGCAAAGGCAAAAAAAAAAAAAAAAAAGATACAGGATGTAACAAGTAGTTCAATAGGAGTAAAAAAAACGGTTATTCTCACACTTCACAGTGGAACAGATGAGAATGTTGAATTATTTCAAACAGTTGAGACACTGCTCAACAGTTTCTGTCGGCGGATGGTGGTGGTGGGGGCTGGGGGGGATTGCTCCCTCTGATCCCTGTCTCCAACCCCCAGCGACGGCACAGCTGGGTACGAAGGATCAGGCTAATTTTCAGGTCCCTTTAATGGTCGTGGCGAAGAGCAACCACTAATCCCTTAAACTGAGAAAAATGATCTCCTGCTGCCCTGCAGACACAGAGTCCAGTTCACTCCTAACTAGCCATGGGAGTGATGGGGGAGGCTGGGTGACTCGAGCAGTTCCAGGGTACAATGACCAGGATGTCAGAGTGGGGATACCTTGCTGATTAAGTGAAATAAAGGAACTTTACAAATTATCTGTGCGTTGTATGGTATATTTCAGGTGAGTTCACCTGTTTGTTTAAGAAATCAATATTAAATCTGACTTTGTGCTGGTCAGGAAAAGACTAATGTGGTTTTTCTTGTTTCTGTACAAACAAAACAATTACTTCCAGTTTGGTTTTGTTGTTTCTGAAAGGGAAAATGTCATCGTCTTTTAGAGCCATAAAATCTACAAATGTGCAAAGTATGAAAATGACACATAATGAGGCTTCTGTTGTTTTTCCAAGAAAGAAAATAAATTTTAAAAACCATTGTTGCACCTGGATACCATTTTTGGATGACGATCTCACATCTGAAACACCACTGTCAGATTGACTATTGATTGTGATGTTTCTTGATTAAAAAAAAAAAAGAAAAAAGATACAGATAAAGTTAATCATGACAAAAAAAGTGGGTGAATTCCATTAAAGTGAAAGATGATTTTTTCCTCACACACCAAAAACAGCTGTTTTGCACCTAGCATTACGCAACACTCAGAATCTTGGTTCTAACTGAATAAAAAGCCCCAAACATAAGGGAAGAAGACATAGCACAGTTCATGCCATAGTCTGAACAGAGAAACCACTGTCATACCACAATAGAAAAAAACTGTGGGTGTAGTTTGTCAGCATAAAGTTTGTCTGGTAAGATAATTCTTCATCCTGCAGATGTTCTCTACTTTTTGTGTGGCTTCTATCACTACTAGCTTCCACTGTGACTTCTTCTCTTCTTCTGTGGTGCGCCAACAGTTTCATTAGAATAACTCGGATATTTTACCACATCACTGTGTTGTAATTTAACCCTCATAAGTAAAACATAGGCTGAATGTGCAGAGAAAATTAAGACGTCTGACAGTTTTTGTCACAAGCAGTAATTCTCCACTGTGGAGAATTGCAGGGAGACTTGGCTTCGGACAGCGTGCTTTTAAATCCTTTAGCGGGGTGCCAGATTGTGAGATATCCAAGCTACTGCTCCAAACATTTCTCTTGACTTCCTCCTCATCACTGGATGACTCTCTACAAAAGTCTTCACTTCACTGGATTAACTTAAAACTGGAGACACTGCAATCACTATTTTGCTCTTGGGGCGCTCTGCGACAAAGTTTGGCGTTCCAAAATTTAACGTCTTCACTCTTCCACAACTTTTAGAAAAATTGCTAAATGATGATTTGTGCCCCATAAGAAATGGGAAGCAGTCAATAGTCGTAATTTATCAATAACGTCTGCAGCAGCCAAACTGCAAATCAAGGGAATATATTTTTTTTTAAATTGAATAACAAACTTCTTTACCAGCAAGCGTCAATGATGACACTTTGTACAGTGCTAGCTTGCATTCATTATTCACACCACAACAGGGCCCTCTGCACTTATGCACACACAGTAAAGATCTTTAAAAAGCCCGAAAATAAATTAAGTTTTTATTGCAGCAGCATAAGTATACACTAAATAATTAAGAACAACTCAACCTTTAATTTCAGTATATTTATTCAACAAGGAAAAAATATCCAGTTAGGAAATATCTGTTTTTTTTAAAAAAAAAAGCATCGGTGACAAACTTAATGATTTATGTCATCATTTTTATAAAATCAATTGAACTGAAATATTTTCCAAACGTACACCTTTAATTTTTAATTAGTTGACTTCCTGTTACCCTGGTGTTTAAATCGTTTTAAACACCAGGGTGGGTGGTATAAATGAAATCCTTAAATTATTGAGACATTTTAAATGGAAATATAGGCGTGCTTCTTCCAGACAAACTGAAAGTTTATCATCATTGGATCTGTCAGCAAAAAAAAACAAGAGTCAAACCGACACCAAAATGTGTCACCAGTCACTAACATACCGAATTTAACAAAATAAGGGTTGATTTTTTTTTAAAAAAAAGAAAAGAAACGTGTGACATTATGCTGCTGCAATACATTTATTCTGACGGTTTTTACAACTTTTCACCAGGGGGGAAATAATTACGGATAGGGCTGTAAACATACCTCTTCTGCATTGCTATTACCTCCTCGTGAGTCAAAAACTCAAAGACAGAAGTGCCACCAACAGCCTACTGGCAAATTGATAACTGTTCACAAAACTACTGAGCAACAGTTGAGAAGTGGATTGTAGTGCTGTTTGCTCATTTGCATTTTGTGGTCACAAGTTAGCTGTAACTCTCAGATAAGGGAGCAAGAAACCACACTTTTAGAATAACTCTGCTGAGAAACACTTGAGATGTCCCCACACTATGACGCATTTCTCAGATATTGATCAATTTCTTCTATATATTTATATTATATTATGAAATACCTTCAAACTATTCCTTGAAAATTATGGACAATGGACCAAGACAGTGGACCAAGACAGTGTCTACATTACTGATTCAAACTTATCAGCTATTCAGGTATTCAGTTGTTGATTCTCAAGTGGCAGCTTCTGCTGGAATGCGGCTTTTCCTATGAACATTTTCCAATGTCCGATGCTAGTACATTGTTTGAATGGCATTATAATATCTCCGTTGCTTGTCATGGCTGGATAAATCCATCAAGCCGCATCAGTTGTTTTCAAAACGTCAGTCAGAGGAAATAGAAAAATGCACATAAAACCCTGAAGAGTATAAATCGGTACAGTAAGCATCTTGTGGGAATGACAGATCGGATTAATCAGTGAAAATCCGGTTTCTCTGGGAAGGTGCATCCGACCCGTCTGATGATGACGTTGGCTGCATAGTGTCCGGCCCGGATGCACTCCTCCAATGACTGCTCTTGGACAAGTGCAAACAGGAATCCTGAGGAGGAAGAGCAACTGAGGTAACTCATCAGAATCAGAGGTCTCACAATAAATCTGATGTTATCACGTTTTAGCCACGCACGCAGTTCTGTTTCCTGAACAAGGCCTATGTGACGGAAGTTCTACGTAAAGCTGATTAGCATGCAATTTTATACCTCCAACAAAGGCGTCTCCTGCTCCGTTGGTGTCCACAATGTCATTTTGGTCGATGTCCAAAACGGGAAACATGGTCACTTTATCACCTGTGGTCAGGAAGTGAAACAATAGTTACTTGAAATGCCTCCAAAAGTATTTATAGCCATTTAGCTTTTTCATATTAAAACCACACAAGTCAATGTATTACAATGAGGATAATGGGATAGATCAACTTAAGGTAGAGAACATTATAAAAAAGAATGAAAATGATACATGGTTAAATGCATCATTTCACAAACAAATCCTTGTATGTCTGATGTGCAATGACTAGTTCCACAGTTAAACCAGTTTTCTTGCAGGATTTTGCTGTTTTCAGTTTCATCAATCTTCCTCTCAACTCTGACCAGTTTTTCTATCCTTGCTGAAGAAAAGCATCTCCACAGCATCATGATGCAACCTCCATGTCTAACAGAGTTGACACGGCAGTGAAAAGCAATGCACAGAACACTGTTAAAATGTTTTATTTCTAAAACCAGTTAAAACCTCATGTCATTGTCCTTCCACAGAATAAGTATGAACCACTTTGTGTTTTGGTTTAGCACATAAAATTACAATAAAGTGCATTAAAGTTTGTTTGTGATTTCCAGAGATTCATAATGTTAAGTAATCACTTAGCTGAGGATAACATTCTGCTGTGCGAGAGAGCATTTTAGTTTGAATAATCATATGTGAAATATTAGAAGATCTTTGAACTACAAACAGTTTGAATCTGGAACAGCTCAGATCAGATTAACAGCAAATGCTGCCGCTCAGATGTTCGTCCTCCTAAAGAAAACTACTTCCCACATCACACGCTTGAAAATGTTTTTACTTTTCCTCACTCCTGTCAACCTTAATGCTTGGTGTGGACTTTTATGCCCCCCTTGGGATAAACTCTCCCAGCTTTGGTGATCAAAAGTGTGCAAAGTTAAAGAGCGTCAGTGCTAGAAGTGGTTAGTTTGTCCAGAGCCAGATGGTTGATTGAAAATAAATAAATCAATCAATCAATAAATAAATAAAGAGAATAAATAATAAAATACAAATATAAAACACATCCAGATTTACCAATATTGTACATATTCACAACTACAACTCATCTGAAGCAACTTTAAATAATGAGAAAACTAACATTTCACTTTGAAGAACTATTCAGAGCCACTGGGGAAAAAATCTGATAAGAAATCTCACATATATGTACAAAATCAAGGCCTTTATTCTTACCAGTAAGGTGATATATGATTATGTTAGCTTCAGCTGAATATTAATGTTTGTTAACCGCAAAGTGAGCTCAGTTTCTAACAGCAACAATATTCTAATGTTTATTCCTTTGCTAGTCTTGAGTGGCTCTTTGTGTTTTAACAATCAGTGAGAGCAGCAGTGAAAAGTCTCTTCTGTTGAACCATTTCCCTACATGATCTTAAACAATCACGACACTTCAATATATTTATCTGGTGTTTTATGTTATAAACCAAAACAAAACAGTGTATAATTGTTAAATGGAAGTAAATTGAAACACGATTTATTTCTTTTCTTTTTTCTTTTTACTCAAAATCTGAAAGGCGTGGTTCCCTTTTGTATTGAACTCTCCTGATTCATTACTTTGTGACTGATTCATTGCAGTTAAAGCTTTAACTTGCTGGGGTTTTGACAAAGTTTCTCTGCTGAATTTTGTCTGTGAAAGGCACTTAGATAAAACTTGCTGTCTTGCCTACTTTTATCTTAACTTCTTATCATTTTTACATGAATTATTTTTGAAGTACCATCAATGTATTGCAAAAAAAAAAATGCTGCTTCTAGGCAAATGGTTGGCCTCTTCAACATTCCCAAATTCTATCATAGACAGTTCACCATCACAAAGCATCTCAACAGTACAGGAGCACAAATATTTCATGCTGATGGTGTCATTAGTTTATCAAAAAGCATTATGGAAACTACCATTCCATTTTAATTGGTTTTTAAAAGTTACTCTTTTCTATGAGTGACCAAATAGAAGGTGGATGAAAATCTAGAGGAAATATTAACTTTTCAGACGGTGGGCAAGCTTTACGCGCCTACTGTTTTGGATTAACCGCAGCGCGAGGTCAGTGTAGTGGTTTCACTTTAAAACTGAATCCATAACATGAGAGTCTTTTTATTATTTTCAGAGGATTACGCTGAAATCACACACTGCTTCAATTATCAGCAGTGTGTGAACTTCAAAGACGCTCCCAGCTTAAAGCGGAGCGAGGGGTGGAAGGAAGAGGAACAAAAAAATCTACCAGATGACAAAGTCTCGAGGTGTAGAGTGACATTAAATCAGCAACTTATGTCAGAACAATGTAAACCACGCACACGATCTTCAAACAATCCGAGGGCCCCGGTGCAGACGTGAACCTTCAAGAGGGTGTCGGAGACAAAAGACTGACATGCGGATGAAAGTAACAAGAGGAGGCTGACAGACCTCTTATTGAGAAGAGACACGGGGAGTTTATGGAGAACATGAAATAAAAAAGAACTACAAAAAATTTGTTTAATGAGGCTCCCCGCTATGTGACAACGGCTCAGAGTCGATCTGAGCAGCAGATGAGACACCGCACCTTATCAATTTTTTAATACGTTAAAGTTCCTGCCCTAAAGAGCAAGAGACAAACCCGCAGTTGAACACCTGATGTCAATGAACGAAGCTGAAGAAACTCCGTGTGTAGCGAAAAGCTGCGTAACAGATCATGTATCAATAATGTATCAGATTAAAGAGTTCAGTGGTGTTTTCATAACAGCACTAATTCTTGTAAAAAGGAAGCAGATGACTGATAAAAAAAAACAAAAAAAAATTACAATAAAACAAGAATCCTTTCAGGATCAGCTAATTAACAACATAAAGACTTTGTTTAATTAATGCCACAGATGAAGCCTGAGAGCCCTCCTCTCTCTTGAAATGATTAACCACACGTAGAATGCGTGCTTACAATAAATTTTGTCAGTTGTTCTGCCGTTGAGTGAACTGAAGTCGTTAGATGTGGTCGTGCTAATTCGACGAGCTTTGCGGATGCTTTGAAAGGCCGAAACTGCTGCACTTGTTCTCCAGAGGCCGGTGCTCAACACGGCCACATTGTCTCTCATCAGGATTCTCAACTTTGTACTCAGAAGTATTAGAACTTTGATGTTTTTGTCACGTATTAGCCACAAACTTAAACAAAATAATAAGAAAATATTTTTACTTTACGCAACAAACCAACGGAATGAGAGACAACTTAAAGACGTTTATGAAAAGAGTGTTGTGAATTTATGTTCTTCCCCCATCTCTAGTTTATTTTTTTTTTCTTCCATGTTTTGCTGTACTGAGACCGATCCATCAATTTTTCTAGCAACTATGGCGAGCCCCACAGCATAATGGTACCACCGCCATGTTTCACTGTGGGGATGGTGTGTTCAGGGAAGTCTGTTTTCCTCCACACATACTTTAGCGTTTTTTTCAGCAACAGCTTACTTCTTGTCAGAAGCCTGGCTTAAAAATGTTAAAAATCAAGATCTTTGGAGTGTGTGACTAAAGCTCGTCGACACCTGAGCATCTCTACTGCTCCAAGCTGTCATGATGGACGGCCATGTCTTTGTAGGTAGTTGTGCTTTAATCTATCTATTGTACTTATACTGATAAGCATTTTCCATTAAAAATGCACGTAAATCATTTTCTAGTTCTTCATATAAATCTAATTAGATGGATATTTGGTTCAAAAGTAAATATTTGTTTCAACATCTATATTATTGGTTTAAGATTATTATTATTATTATAAGATTAAACATAGACTTATTTGAATTATGATTAAAGAATGCAAATAAAAAGCAGGCTGCTTTACATCTTGATTACCAAGGAAGTATGTTACGGACCGAGACATTTGTCTTTGTGCAAATATAAGCCCAGAACTGTTCGTGAAAGAAACTTAACTAACTACTGATCTGGTACTAGCTAGATCAGTAGTTACCTGTCAGTAGACAGACTGACTACTGATCTAGTCAATCTGTCTTTGACTAGATCAGTAAAGGGTGTTGCTAGCCGTCTACAGCCTGCACAGCTCAACTGTTTGGCAACACTTCAAATAAATGTTTCTATCCATCTAGACACATAAATATCTCAACGTATTTATCATTATTAAAGTGGTTTTAAAAAACAAATGCAAAAAAAAAAAAAAAACTCATTTATTTTGTTGCTGCAACACTACAACCGAAAATTGGGCGAAATTAATAAATCAAATTAATGTTCTACGCTTTATAGCATTTGTGCAGTACCACATAGTTTTTTTGTAGGTTCTTACACATTGTTTAATTCTAAGGTTACACCCCTTTCAGATCCATTTTGATTGGTCTAAAACTACACTGAGTTTATCAGTATTAATCACGGCTACGAATAGACATTTGTCCAAACGAACTCCAAGTGCAGATTTAATGTTGAAATGGGATGTGCTGCTCTCTAGGAAGGTGAGCTGAATACAAAATGAGCATATTTTTATTCGTAAAAACATCTGAGAACCATGTTAGCACAAAATTAGAATTGAATACATTGAAGTTTGTGGTTATAACTTGACAAAAATGTGAAAAACTCCAGGCAGAATGAGTCATTTTGTAATAAACTCAAAGGGAGACAATTATGATTTCTCTTCTTTGCAAAATCCACCTAAAAGTGCAAATGAATAGTTAAACAGGCTCCAAAAACACAGTTTTTACCCATCAGAGTACTTGGATTTATCACTTACAAGCAGATCTGTGAATTTTAATCTTATTTTCACGTTCAAGTTTTAGCAAGTTAGCACGATAACAGAGTAGACTCGTTTCAAGCCAATAGTTTGGTTACATCTTTTAAGTCATAAAAACTCTTGAATTTGCCACTAAATGTTTTGCAAAGCGTCCTGTCATTGCAACCTGCATCAGAGACGATTACACAGAGACTCTCAATTCAGTTGTTTTTGCTTCAAGCCTCTGCAATCAACACAGCTGCTCCTTAACACACTGTTTATGGATTAAATAACCTTCAAGGCCTCCAGTTTGGTAAAAAGTAAATCAAATGAATTTTACGTAAAAATAATACAACTCTAGT